GGTTCCAAAAGCGTCAAGTTTGCTGGAATACATCTAAAACGTTTTGAAAAGATCGCTAGGAAATATGCAAAGGTCACGTTGATAAGAATCAAACTCAACTTGACACTTGGTTTTGTTAGTTTAGTAACTGATTTACAGAGAATGATTTTAGAAAGAATCGCATTCTGATTGGTTAACTAAGCAAGGTATTTTGCGCGAAATTGCAAGTTGAAAACGAGGCTAAGTGATATTGTTTGGCATCTCTTGTTTTGCGCTCGGATAAAAACAAACAATATCGTTTTCTTTTTTTCTTATTTTTTTTTCAATTATGCGATTCGAGGAAAATCCTTTACTTGGCTCGTGAATTCCGCGTTAGAGTGCATTGCGATTCGATTTTGTATCGGTTTTTGTGTACAATTTAACGCGGTACTTAAAAGTATACAGGTAGATATCAGAAAAAGATATAGCTAACGAGTAAGTCTGTTTACATTCTCGCACGACCTACATGGGTTTCTTATGACCAAAGAAAAGTGCACGGTTATTAGTTAGGTTGTCTAGAGAATGGTTTCTTCCAACCGTTTCCAGAGTGCAAGTCAGTTAAGTTGAAAAGACTCCAAAAAGAAACGATTTTCAAAGCACACAAGACCTAAGATCTTACAATCCCTAAGGACTATGAAAGATTTCCAAAATCTTGAGGTCAAATTTCCCGTAATATCTTTCTACTTTTAAGTGCTATAATAACGACCAGCGCTACATTTTGTAATACTACTTACAACCTAACCAAAATATACTATGAAAGGGGGTAAGTTTTTGAAGAAACTGTGGTGCTGCGTCGGTTGGGGTAACAAGGTAAATTGGTAATATCAACTAAGTTGAAATTGTAAATTGGCCACCGTGAAGAGTTTAAAAAACTGACGTTTCGAGCGTTAACCCTCCGTCATTCGCTCATACGAAGGGCTAACGCTCGAAACGTCAGTTTTTTAACTCTTTACGGTGGCCAATTTACAATTTCAACTTAATTGATATTACCAAATTACAAAATATACCATTGTTAACAATGTCGTTTAATATGTGTTTGTGATTGTAGAGCAAAGATTGATGGCGGATATAGTTTTATGCACCTCTAAAAACTTGCTTCGGAAGAATAAGCTGCTTTGAAAGGATAAGCTGGTTTGGGGAAGACCTGACTTTTTATCTCCTTTTTTCAAGGGTAAGAGAAAATATACATTTTTATTCCCCCTGAAAACGGCAGGCAGTTACTTGATCTTTTCATCCAGTCAGTACGAAATGCGTCAAGGTAAACTTGTTTATGTCAATTCTTTAGGTTTGGTCTGGAAATAGTTTTAATTTTCATATCTAAATTTCTCGATCCTTTAGTTGCATCTTGAATATTTCGAACTGCTAAAAGATTTCTTTATTATCAATTTAATTGACGAGATTACGATGAATGGATGATTAAAATTTTTTTACCGGTGGGTCTGAAATTTCCATCTTCAACTGTTTTGTGTCGCTCACGTGTAAAAGATTATTTAACCAGAACTAGAGGTCTTAAAATTTTATCGTTTCGTTTTCCTGGTCTGCTAGATAAAGGAAAGTTAGCGTTAACAGTTAGATTATGATGAGTGTAATTATTATGGCACAGTTGAACGGATACTTGTGTAATTCTGTTATGATGGTCCAGAAATGTCTCCGATTAGTAAATTATTACAACTGTCAATTTTTATGTAGATAATTCTCTCGCACCTTTTCTCTTTCAGCTACCCCAAAGATTAAAAGTGTAAAAAAAAGATGGTCAAGAGAGACGACTATACTTTTTACTCTGGTGTGTGTAGCTTTGTTGTTCACTATAACGAAAACTTGTGCAATGTTCGTGAAAGTTTTTCGTGGTGTTTTGATAGAAGATTTTGTGTCCTTTTGATAAAGGTTGAACAGATGTTTGTGAAAGTTTGTCTTTGTCTTTAATACAGTAATATTACACTGGTTTGAGACAGATTATTTGTTGACGACGTTTGTCGTCCTTTTGGTTAAAGTCTTAGGAAGTATGAAGGCGGGTAACGTTTTCATGGCTCAGATTCTTAGTTTTAATTTTATTTCCTTGTGTTGCAGGCTTCTTCGACCACCCAAAGCTGGATACCAAGGAACACGATCACCTTAAGATTAAAACTAGAGACAATTTTCAATCTTGGAAAGAAAGCACAATTGGATCGAGCCCCAATCCAGAGAATAAAATGAAAAATTGGGGTTCGATCAGTCCACCATCTACCCTGGAAAGAATCGAAAAGCGCCTCACCGTCCTCAACCCCTCCCCGTAGCCGCCACTTTTAGACAGTTTTCTTAACTCTTGACTGAAGACAAACTATCCTGTGGTACAAACACCTTTGACATACAGTTCAGTACTGTACATATTACAATAGGAATAGCACAATATTGTTCTTATAGTCTCCGAATACAGTAATATTACAGTACCAATTATTTTTCTCCAACCGTCCTCACCCACCGCACCCCCCACTAGCCTACACATTTGTTATATCTTTCCAAGGATTGTCTACTTTGTGGTAGTAACATTTCTTTCAAACGCAGGCGGTTAATGTAACCAAACGTCTGTCTTAATTGCGCATACGCATTCCAAGATGTTGTCACTGCAAGGTAGACAGCTTTTACAGATTGCTTTTAAAAAAAGACTGCCTGTATTGACGGTGGAAGACATGGCGAGCTGACCCCAATTTTTGCGTTCTGTCCAAGGTTGATATTTTTCTCTAGTTTCTTGCTTTACTTCTCGACAATCGGCCCCCATCTTTACAATGTTCATGATTTTTCTCTGGCTTTTTGCTTTCCTTCTTGTCGATCTGAAATAAATTGAAGAAAATCATTAAGTTTGCCTGAGAAAATTAAAATTACAATTTTGCATGGGATGAGCTTTTTCTCCGTGTTATTATGTATTCAATCACCTCACTCCTTAGAAATAAACTAGCAGCAAAGTAACAATGTCATTGACCAAGAAACAACACAATAAAATTCTTTATGAATGCCAGAAAGGAAAAGAAGGCAATGACAAAAACAAAGACCAATTGCCAATATTGCATTTCACTGTGTGGAAAACACTACAATCCCTCGGGTAGCGTGGAATTTGCCTTCTTCTTGGATTTTGGCCACACAACGTTTGAAAAATAGATTTATATTTTTCTTAATAATTTCGTGATTAGGTCGCAGCGTTTGGTTCCAAATGGAAACGTCAATAATTCACCATCATTGTTCCCTTCCTTGGCCGGACCACGCAAAGTTTGGTGATTTTGCGTTGCTGTTTTGCATAGGACAGCTAAGGAATGTATAGTTTTCAAACTCAAGTGCTGAGCTGTTGATGCGCTCATTAAACGTTTCGTTAGGCTACGTTCTCGTTGCCACAGCTGTCGTGGTCTTAATTGTCAACCCAAACGCCTGAACAATTAGGTTTTCGTAAAATATTACATAAACTAAATAAGATGTAGAACTTTCTAGCCTGTAATTAGTTTGTCAACATATCAGTTTGAAATTTTCAGTTCTCGAAGATATCATAATACTGCAATCTGAAAGAATCATCGTCTATCTAAAAAAGATAATTTGAGCAAGCATTTGCTGGTGTAAATATCGGCCAGATTGCAACACACTTTACTGCAAGTTAATGTTTTAGTAAAATACCTTTACGACACAAAAAGAAAAACCAGAGTCAAAGCCGTGAGCTCCACTTCACTAATTATGCCGATTTCCCAACCCCCTCCCTTCGAGTGGAAAGAATTCAACTGTAACCGAAAGGTGGTAGCTATTATTTTGATGCAGCAAAAAGTGAAAGCATACCAAGAACACCACACGGTCACCGTGGAACTAATAAACTAGGTTAAAGTTTAGAATTTCCAAGTGAGGGATCGCCTTAGATTTTGTTCCTGCAAGACTTCTTTACTATAGGAACACAAAAACTGTGCAAATGTACTAAGCGCGAGGACAGAAATCAACTATACAAAGTTTTTGTGTAAATTTGGTAAACGACAGTGTCATAAACAAATTCAACTTCCTCAAAAGGCAACCTCCCCCCCCCTTCCCCGGCCCCCACTGCTGACCCTACCCACCGAAAAAAGCTAAGAAACCTTAATCCTTTCACTAGCAAGACTGATTAGTAATTCTCCTTATTGTCTGCTTTGCAATTCTTATGGTGTTCATGTCAAGAATCTGGTTTTGGATTGACTAATAATCCGCATGGGGGATTCACCATTTGGTGCATGTAACATTTGTTAACTCTATTTCTCTCTCCGTAGATGTCTAAAGACTCGTTTTCCTAATTGATGACCATACATTTCTTTATACACCATTCACTAGAATCCAATGTCAGGAACCAAACCCTTTAAATGATAGTTTCCTTCATTCTGATGGAAAATGAGCTTGGAAGAAACAAAATCTACATCTGATACAATGTATATTTAAACTCCTGTGAGTGCAAGTTGCTACAGCAAGAATACTTTTAAAAGATGGTTTGGAATGTTGGTGCTCAGAAAAGCTTTCCTGCAGCACAATGTACACTGGTATACAACTAAAATCAGTTTGTTTTCTGTCAACTCAACTGTAATTCATAGTTCTTTTTGCGGATTACCAAAGAATCTACCAGCCAGTCTACCTAATAAGTCAGAGCTCGTGAAACACACCAATTTGTCTTTCTGTATAAACCTTGGAGGGGCACGTCTGTGCACATAAATGATCTGAATCCTACCCCAAAAGTTGCTACCTACAAATACATATAAATTCATTACGTAGAAACGGGAGCATAAAAGTAAAGCTTTAGAGGTAGTAATAGGCCACTTTTCCTCTGTTTTAGGTATGGAAATGTATGTTGAAGAGATAACATACAAACATTACTTACTTAAGGGAGAAAATACAGTAACATAAATACCTGTTTGTGACTTGCACCTTGCAGAAATACAAGATCTTGTTGTGTAAAGCTAAAGTCTTCATGTGACTCATGTGCAGCTTTCTTGGTTTCTCTCAGGAGGAGCTGAAAACAGAAATGGTTTTGAAACAGTTTGAGTCATCAAATTTCTTCTTTTTTGATTTAGTCACATTGAAAGAAGAAAAGTAAAAGGTATGTATCACCATAACAATTTTAATCATTAGGTTTAAACCCTATACATCCATTAAAGATTTTTTCAAACATTACAGCAAGTTGTACCTTATCTGCTGAGGAAAAAATGATAATTGATCAAAAATGATAACAAAACAGGCTGAACTCGTGTAGACATAGGATTTTTGAGTAATTAAAAGGCTGCTGTAGTCACTTATTTTAACTCATACAGATAATGAAAGGACATTTGTCAACTTTCTGCAATTTAATTGTACACCATCAACAGGTGAGGATGTAAATGGGGTTCATCAAGGTGTGTTAGAAATAGGAGCTATTAAAATGGATACTATGAAGTGGTCCTTCAATTTTTTCATTGAATTGAAATAGTTCTTTTTCAGGTTCCCAGACCAGTTCAGCTGTGAAAAAAAAACATGTTGAGCCCATTACCATAAAATGATCAAGCAAAAGGCAGTACATCAGTTGGAAATCTAGTTATGTTCGGTCTGTAACTATTCATTAATCAATCTCTTGATAACTTAGCAGGTTATTCATTAAAATAATAAACCAGCCCCCCAGCCAGTCAGTTGGTCACTCCATAAGTAGGTCAGTGAGTCAGTCACTG